ACTTGATTGCTTCTATAATTACTCACTTTATTCATAATGGCTGACTTTGCCGTCTTGAATTGTTGCCACTACTCTCGTCGTTCAACCGCCTACAACTATGATTCTTGGATCGTGGGGTGTGATAAGGTTGCTCAATAACCGTTTCAATAACTACTGCTCTGGATAACCATAATACATTATGTTTGCTAAGATCCTGGACGATTCGAAAGTTTGGGCGAGAATATGCTGGTTTGCTTTGGGCGATCTTAAAGCACTTCACTCGCTCAGATCTTGTTGTCTTGTAAGTTTGGGCGATGATGGTACCTTGTTCGTGGGGCCTCCACTGCATTCGTTAATGTTCCTATTTGGGCATTCATCCTGAATTTCCTAATTGGGCTTCATCTCTTAAGCATAAGCTAAACCCGATGTGAAAATGTATGTCAACAACAATATTTTTTCCACTCTCAAAATTTCCCCTACACAAAATTGGTATGTGCTCAACGTAAGCTGCAAATGAGTGCAGTCGGAGCGTCACATAAACATAAAATTACGAAATAAAACAATGATATGAAAATGATAAGAATGTTATAATTTTCTCCAAAATTAGGTGTAACAAAAACACTAGACATGCCTTTAAAAATTACAGTTTCCCTTGAAGTTTCATTTCTACTGGTCTTAGATTAAAAAAATAAAAAATAAAATCCAGTATATATCCAGCTGAAGAAATAAATATATGTTTCTTTAATTTAATAAATTAAAATGAACACAGACTTACCAAGGAGCTTGAATTCCTTGAGTAAATTTTTTAAGTAAAATGATGAGTTGTTGGACAATGGGCTCAATTTAGGCCCAATCTGCTAAGCCGTTACCCTAAAGTGCGATTTAGTCTGAACCCCATTATTCAAACATTTATTTTTCTTTAAACTAATTTTTAATCCGTTATTCTCCTAGAAAATAGTTTTATACGTAAATTCAAAAAAACATTCATACTTTTTAACCACACATTTTTTCAATGATAATAATTATAACTATTAAAAAACTCATTTATTCAAAAATAGAGCTCAAACAAAGTTTTAATTTGAAATCACTTATTCTGCGATGAGGACACGTGGCATATATGTGATGGTTGGATTGAGAGCAACCGTTGGGATCTTTCTTATCCCATTTTCTCTCATGTATCTACTGAAGTGTTATCGTTCGGATTTTAAATAAATAAATACAGAATGCTACAAAATTATTTATGTAGTGCAATCATTTTATCTTTTTGCTTGAAATATTTTTTATCTTGAAAATATCAGGTGGATTAAGGAATAACGTTTGGTATCATCATTGTTTAAAATGTTCTCAATCGTTACAATGGAAAAAAATCACAAGGAGATTTTGTTTGTTGGTATCAATTAGACAGTGTATGGACTTTTATTGCTCTTCATTGCTCTTTCGAACTAATACTGTTAATGTTACATCGATTCAAGCTTGTTCAATTGCGACCTTATAATGCAATTGAAACTATTAAATCAACAAAAGTAAAAGGTTGAGGACTAATATGTTACAAACCAAAAGTTGAGAATTCATACATGCAAATTTAATTGGTCTAGGACTTGCATTACAATGTTTTCTAATAGGTAATTAGAACAAAATCGTCCCCGTCTTTCAATGTTATTGTACAAAACGTGCTTATCTTTCATTTTTAGCATTTTCACCCTTATATCTACCTTCCACTTTGGAAATCATATTTTTCATCCATTTTTCTCAATTAAAAGCTGTAAAATAGCGAATATACTCCATATTTAAATAAACCAAAAAAGAAAAGAAAAAATAAATAACTAATTGCAGTCAAAATCCCAAATTTTCAAAAAATTACAAATGAGTCACAAACATATAATTAAAAATCAAAACTAAAAAAAAACAAAAAAAAAAGATAAAAGAAAAGAAATTGTATCTTCTTCCACCCCACCCCACCTAACCCAACCCAAGCCCCTCATCCAAAACCAGAAGACCACCCGTTGTCACTATCGGCCACTTGCCATCGACCACTCACCTTCTCACCTGAAAGCATATAATGCGGCTCCACATTGCGTGGACAAAATGGGGACCACATTGGAGTGCAAAATTTGAGGACCAGGAGCATCAATTGGTGGAATTGAAGCATAACATACTAGTTTGCTATGGGTACATTTGAGTCCAATTTAGCGAATTAACATAAATAACCAATTGGAATGGAAGAGGAATCGGGTAGTGTACAGATTGGGGATTGGCACTATTGGACCATAAATTGAAGCAATCGGTATTGGATCCATAGTTGTAGGAGGCCGTTGAAGGTTTGCCTTTTGACTTTGAACCACCTCAGCTCCGTAAATTTGAACTGACGGAATGTTCTTGCGTTGCAAAATTGAGCAATTTGGGCATGGTAAAACCAGTAATATTAGGTTGAAAATTGTTACGGGCCTTCTGAGGCCCTCCACTTCGCCCATCCACCACGTGTTGGTCGAACTGATCTGGTGTTGCCACATGGCAGACGAACTGAATCAATGTCGAACGAACTGATTCTATAACTCCGAACTGAAACACTGTTGCCCCACCTCGTAGAAGAACATAACTCATTCGACATTCACAGCGGATGTAAAGGCCCACACTCCACATTCTTCACGCCTCACAATCCGCTTCGCCACACCTCTAGTAAGATCTTTTGTGAGGAGATCTATCCAAAGTCAAGTCCCCGACTGATTGATGGGATATGTGGCAGGCTACAAACAGTCAACTCAGTTGCTATGTCAGAAATCATTTAATGCTCGCCAGCCCATGGATTGACAGACTGACGTCTATGAAAGGATGACCCATTCGAGATCTGAAGCCACGTGTTCCCCCATCCAATTTCTCTAGTATAAATAGCCCCACACAATGGTAATGTAGGGGTTCCCCATTCTAATCTTGACATTCTAGCATTTTAACTCTAAAAAGCTTTTCACTATATTTATACACGCTCTCAACCACGCCCCGGTGACCACTTCTCCATCGGGCATCACTATCCGGTTGACTAGAATATTGACTTGACCGTCAGAGTGCTCGCGGTTGCTTCCACCCCCATCGGAAAAGACCACGAGTGATTAATGGCGTGCTTCCATGCGCAGGGAAGAACATGCGTGAAGAGTTATCTTGTTAACCAAGTGTCGGAGCCATTTTACGAGGTCAACAAAATTGATGAAGACCCATTGTTGTAATAAGTGGAGCATGAGGATGGAATGTTGGAATGGGTGATCCGCGACCATGGGATCCATCACTTACGTCGGAATTAATGGAGGAAGCAAACTGGTTTCTCAAACCAATGAGAGTTTTTTCTAAGTATTAGATGGTTAAAGGATCTATTGGTAATTCATTGATGGGGAAGTGTTTGTGGGTTAAACTCGCAGATGACGGGAGCATTTTTTGGCGATTTAGGCGGGGGTAATGGTTTGAGCATTGACTACCAGTCGCTCCATTCACAAAGGGAGATTTCAATTTTTGATTTTTAATTATATATTTATAACTCATTTGTAATTTTTTGAAAATTCGGAATTATAGTTGCAATTAGTTCTTTATTTTTTCTTTTCTATTCTTTTTGTTTTTTAAAATAGAAGGGTATATTCATCATTTCACAGTTTTTAATTGAGAAAATATATAAAAATGATGATTTTCGTAATAAAACGTAAAAATAAAGATGAAAATATAAAAAATGAAATGTATAAACTTTTTGCACAATAAAATTAAAAATTAAGAATGTTAATTACCTTTCTTACTACTTGACAACCCGTTTTCTTTTGTCAAAAAAAAAAACTTTATATTCAAATATCTTCTCTCCCAGATCTGATCTGTAAGAACGTTTGTAAGTACTCCCTCCCTCCCTCCCTCTACTTCAGCTCCCTACATTTTTTGAATATTTTACATTACATGCCTGTTTGTTTCACTGCTTTTGTTTGCAGATCTATGTTTTGATTCTGATTTTTATGTGGAAACAAAATTTGACTGCGATATTACTCAGTGGTTTCCCTTTTTTGTTGTTTGTTTATTTTTTTAATTGCCATCGTTATAATCTGGTAAATGTGTGGATCAGTTTAGTGTTAAGTAGTAATTTTTTTGTTAGTTTTGAGTTTTTGATGTGATTAGTTGATTTTTTTTTGAAAATTATGCACTGATTCTCTGTTAGGTTAGTGGAATTACTGGAGGGAGTAGCGGAAAGAGTAAAAACGAAAAAAGAAGAAGATTCCGTAATTATCATATTCATTCACATCAAATTACAAGTAAACTATATTCATTTATCTTATCTTTTTTCCATTATGCCCAAGTAACGATGTGGTAAATTGGTGGATCACTTTGTTGTTAAATAGTAAATTACTGTTACTTTGAGTTTCTGATATGATTGGTTGATTTTATCGTCAAATTTTGAAATTTAGCACAAAGTCTCTGTTTAGTTAGTCAATTGCTATAGGAATGAGTAGTAGAAAATCCTTTAATTTTCAGGTTTAGTTACATAACATCAAATTAGAAGTAAATTATATTCATTTCTTTACCTGTTTTTATCATAACCAAGTAAATAGAGACACTTTCAATTTCTTTCTTTAAATTAAGTATTGGTAATGTTTTGCTTTTTTCCTTTTCCAATGAAAATTTTCAAAACTTAACTCTCTGATGGTGAATTTTTGACAGAATTTGGCGTGGATAGAGAAGTTGCATCTAGGAAAATAGTGACAATTTAAGTCCCGGTTTGATATCGATTAAAATCAGATTTTTAATAGATATTGATAAAAGTTGAAGAAATTTGTGGTTGATAAGTTGTGGAGCATAAAATGTTTGGTTAAAATTAATTCTTGACTTTGACTTAAGATTAAAATCAAATTTTAATAAAAAACAAACAGGGGCAAAGTTTCTTTCTTGTTTTCTTGACAACTGAAATAGAGTTGTGCAACTCAAACGGAATTGAGCTCTCTTACAGTAATTTTTTTTATAAAATTTGGTGCAGCTACAAAAGTTGAATCTAAGAGGTGAAAATGGGTCGTGGAGTTAGCAGCGGCGGTGGGGAGAGTTCTCTTGGTTACCTTTTTGGAGGAGGAGAGGCTCCACGAGCTCCAGCTCCAGCTCCAAAAACCGCTACAAATAATGGGGAAACTCCTTTGCAAAACCAGGCCCCAGTGAGAAGCAATGCAGCACCAGAGAAGCCTTCTATTGTTGCACCACCTGCTGATGCTAATAAACAAATTCCTGCTGGGATTCAGGGAAGCCAAAAGAATAACTATTTCCGAGCTGATGGCCAGAACACTGGAAACTTCCTTACGGTATGACTATGATATTCGTCATATTATTATGTATTTTCGCTAGTCGTTGACTTATTAAACATAATTTGTGTGGCCCATGTGGGTTTGTATGTATGTTTGTATTTAGGGATGCGTTTTAGCACACACGTGCATATGCAAATGGTGAAGAGGGTGATACAGTGTTAATCAGATCTTCAGTCAATTTCCAGTACCAATATTGTTATGAAACATGTGTTGTATTGAGATTGCTGCACTCTTGAAGACCATTTGTTGCATAGGCTTAAAAGAGATCGACGAGCATAATGCAATCTCAATAGAATAAGTTAGAAGAGAAAGAGAGGTAGATAAAAACAAACATGACACGTTGTTGAGGATCTAGCTGCATTAAATCTTCTGCTAAGTCTAGAAATGAGCGGAATGGAATAGCATAAACAATTCCTGCAGCCGACCCAAAATTATTGTTTCAATGCCAATTCCTCTTTTATTGTCATTGACATTTTGTGGATGTTTCTTTGGCAATTGCATGTTTATCTCACGTACGATGGTCATAGTGGTGATGGTATCACACCATATTATATATAACATACATGGACACGTAGCGTATCATGTACTCATTTTCAATAAAATGATTCTCGGGATCCTTTCTTTGACAGGATCGACCATCTACTAAAGTCCAGGCTGCTCCTGGTGGTGGATCTTCCCTGGGGTACCTTTTTGGAGGCGGTAGCAACTAATGCCTATTCTTCATCGAATTCAAAAGATGGAATCATTGTTTACCATTTTTTGCGAAACTGTTCCAGTTTGTCCGTTCTGAATTGACATCTTGCAATGAAGAAATCTTGTTCTTGTAACTGTTAATGCTGTTTACTTGTGTGAATGCAATTACGTGCTATGATAGATTCTCAACTGTTAGGATAGTTTCTAATCTGAGCACAAGACTAGAAGATCATTTCACTCCGAACGGTGGTTATTTTGGGATAATCTTTACTCATGTTTCCCAAAGAAACACTTTCTTGTCTTGTTGCACAAGAACTCAAATGATCTACAAAGTCATTTAGCGCCTGCCTCATATTGCTTTTTTCCTAGATTTTAATTGAATATTTTACCGTTGCAAGCCGTAGAAGTTGACTTCTTCCTCACATTTTGGGCCCCAGTATTGAAGATAATATCAAATCAATATTATCTTGATTTGATTTTCATATTTACCTCAATCAATTTGATTTGATTTGATTCTCGTAATATTTAAGATATTTACATTTTCTATCTCAATGTAATTTCCCTATAAATAGGGACAAATGCTTTCTATTCAATATCAATCAATTCAATAAAGAT